AGCCCAGAGGAGCAAAGAAAGAACCCCAGCGCTGACCCCAATCTTGCCTAGCTTAGAGAACTTTGTGGCAGGTTCTGATTTACCTTCAGGGCCCCAAGCCCTGACCTGATGTTTCTGGTATGCCCCCCACCCCAACACCCGCACCCACTCCTGATCCCTTCACACATCATATTTTCTTTAGAGGATATATAACCATCTGAAATGACCTTTGGTTGACTTATAGCCTCCCCTCCAGTGTAAACTCCATAAAAGTAGAGAAGCACAGGGCTGTCCCCATGCCTGGAAAAGAGCCTGGCCTAAAGTAAACCATCTGACTAACTGACAGACATGCTGGGATTCCAATGAAACCCTCTCTTCCCATTAGATATTTGGGCAGGTTCATTCCGGGGGACCAGAATCAATGAGTCCCACACCTTGCAGGCTGCATTTGGGCAGGGAAGGTCATTGATCAAAGGCAACACAAAAGGGCAGGTGCTCAGCAAGAACCCCCCCCACACACACACACACACACACACACACAAGATCTAGGCCTCAGGTTCACAGGGAGAAGTGGCCTGATGGCACACACATCACTCCCAATGGTGTGGCCTCCTCTAGAGACATTCTGGAGAAAAATGAGTCACAGTCTCTGAGAGTTAAAAGGGACTACTAGGAAAAGAACTTCACCTGCCATTCACTATAGAAAGTCTCTGTAGTTTCTGGGGAATATCTACGGAGAATTTTTGCCTAAAAGCATCCACACCCCCTCAAGCAGGGCTTCTGATACAAGTGTCCACATCACCTTCATCCATGGGCCATGGCAAGTTTGAGGTGTCCCCATCCATCTGAGTGTGGGAGCCCCCAGAGCTCAGGTCTTGATTTCATAATCTCCATGCAGAATACTGTCGTCCTGTCATTTTAAAGGAAAATTCAGTAGAGTGAGTGAGGTGTCTCCAAATCTGATTTTAAAAAACTGCAAAAGGTGTTTTCCTAGTGGAGTAATAAACAAACAAACCCAGACACAAGAGCTCATTAACCTTTGAACTTATAACACATAGTTGAGTGTCTTCTGCTGCAGGGCAAGGTAGCTCAGCATGGGAGTGCTCATGAGTTACATTTGCTGGGAAAGGAGGCTGGGGTTTCCTAGTGGTAGAAAAAAAAATATCTCCTTTGTCTTCCTCTTTCCCCTCCTCTTCCTTCTGCTTATCCTTATTATCTTCCTCTCTCCCTCTCCCTTCCTTTTCTTCCTTCCCTACCCTCATTTTCCCTTGCCTCTCTTCTTTCCTGCATCAATGTGCTTTACACAATAAGGCTTTGGATCTGTTCTCTGAGGTCCCCCAGAAGATATTCCATTGTAATCCCCTTCCCAGTCAGAATGCTCCTGGAAATCACTAGGCCAGTAACCAGTCTAATTCCAGCTGAAATCCAGGAACGTTTTTTAGGCATCTGTGTGGGAGTCCTGTTCATCAGCTGCCCCATCCCATCCCCCATCCCCCATCCCCCTTTGCTGGATTAAGTGGTTGAGTCAGTCCTGAGAACATCCCTGGCAGTGATGTTAAGAAGCATCCATGGCGATTCCATGGAACTTTCAGGAGCCATTCACCTGTGATGACTGAAAAGCAAAGTTAACACAGTACCTGGCCTGGGCTGTGG